GACTTGTACATTTTCCTTGAAGGGATAAAATATTCATTTTATATAGACTGTAGAAAGAGGAAAGGAAAAACAAAAGACTAAAATAAGAGGTCTAAATAAAACACAAATGATAAAATGGTAAATCCAAACAAAATACGATGTTCCATATAAATGGTCTAAATATATCAATGTTAAAACGAACATTTCCAGATTGGATTTTAAAAAATCGAGACCTAATTATTTCTGTCTTAAAAAGACCCACTTTAAATATAAAAGCACAGACAGATTAAAGGCTGAAGGATGTAAAAAGGCATACCAAGCAAAAAAACAAATGAACAAAGTAATCATCAGAACAAGGAATATTACCAGGGATAATGAAAGTGATCACAATTGATTAAGGGGTTCATTAAGCAAAAATTCATAACAATCCTACATGTATATGCACCTAATGACTGAATTTTTTTAAAAAAGGAAAAAAAACTAATAGAGCTGAAAGGAGAAATCAATAGACCTATAATTGTAACTACAGATTTCAACACTCCCTTCTCAGTGATGACAAAGGAGAAGGAAAATCAGCAATGGATAGAAAACTGAGGAACACTTTTGAAACAATTTGACCTAATTGACAAATATAGAACACCCCACTCAATAACAGCATCATACACATTTTTCTCAAGTACACATGAAACTTGGACAGAGATCATTTTCTGGGCCTTAGTGAAATAAAAAAAAAATTGAAATTATACAAAGTATATTCTCTGACAACAGTGTAGTCAAACTAGAAATTGACAACACAAAAATAATGGGAAAATCTTCAAGGATTTGTAAATTAATTTTTAAAATTCTACATAATTCATGCATGAACAAGGAAGTCAAAAGTAAAACTAGAAAATATTTTTAACTTAGTGAAAATAAAATTATAACATATTAAGATGTAAATAGTGCTCAGAAAGAAATTTATTGCATTCTTGAGTACATAATCTCAACTATCACCTCCAAAAATTAGAAAAAGACATGGTATAGGGATGCCACCTGCTTCACTTTTCCTGCTAAGGATTACTTTAGCTATTCTGGGTCTCTTATTTTTCCAGATGAATTTCATGATTGCTTTTTCTATTTCTATGAGAAATGTCATTGGAATTTTGATTGGAATTTCATTAAATCTGTATAGTGCTTTTAATGGTCATTTTGATAATATTAATTTTTTCTATCCAAGAACAAGGTAGATCTTTCCATCTTCTAAAGTCTTCTTTGATTTCTTTAGGACTCTGTAATTTTCATTATACAGATCTTTCTCCTCTTTTGTTAAGTTGATTCCCAAATTTATTATTTATTTTATTTTATTTCTATTGAAAAATGGGGTAGTTTTCCTTGTTTTCTTTTCTGAGAATTTGCCACTGATATACAGAAATGCTTTTGATTTATGGGTGTTGATTTTATATCCTGCTACTTTGCTGAATTCATTTATTAGTTCTAGAAATTTTCTGGTGGAACTTTTAGGGTCTTCCAGGTATAGAATCATATCATCAGCAAATAGTGCCAATTTGAGTTCTTGTTTTCCTATGTGTATCCCTTTAATTTCTTTCGTCTAATTGCTCTGGCCAGTGTTTTAAGAACTATGTTAAATAGAAGTGGTAAAAGAGAGCATCCCTGTCTTGTTGCAGTTTTTAGAGGGAATGCCTTCAATTTTTCTCCATTTAGAATGATGTTGGCCTGGGGCTTAGCATAGATAGCCTTTATGATGTTGAGACATGGATTTTAAAACAGCATACTACAGGGTCACAGCTACATAATGTTTATAGCAGCACAATTCACAATAGCTAAACTGTGGAACCAACCTAGATGCCCTTCAACAGATAAATGGATAAAAAAAAATTGTGGCATTTTTACACAATGGAATATTACTCAGCAATAAAAGAGAATAAAATCATGGCATTTGCAGGTAAATGGATGGAGTTAGAGAAGATAATGATAAGTGAAGTTAGCCAATTCCAAAAAACCAAAGGCCGAATGTTTTCTTTGATATAAGGAAGCTGATTCATAGTGGGATAGGGAACGGGAGCATGGGAGGAATAGACAAACTCTAGATAGGGGAGAAGGGTTGGAGAGAAAGGGAGGGAACATGAGGTTATTAATGATGGTGGAATATGATGATCATTATTATTCAAAGTGAAGACACGAATTGGTGTGAATTTACTGTGTATACAACCAGAGATAGGAAAAATTGTGCTCTATATGTGTAATAAGAATTGTAATGCATTTCACTGTCATATATAAATAAAAAAATAAAAATAAAAAAATAGAAAAAGAACAAATTAAACTCAAAGCAAGCAAAGAAAATAAAAAGCAGAAGATGCCAATTATGGATAATAGGCATGAAAGAGAAGGTATCACTATAGATCCAACTTAAATTTAAAAGGATAACAAAGGAATATTACAAAAGACTTTAGGTCAATACATTCCATGAAACTTAGATAAACTGAATAAATTTCTTGATAGACATATTACCAAAGTGCACTCAAGAAACTGAAAAACCTGAACATTCCTATATTTATAAAGAAAACGTCAGGTCCAGACTTCCTTGACAGAAATCACAACTCTGTCACTTACTAGCTGTGTAACTATGAAGAAGTGACTGGATATTTCTGGGCTTCAGTTTTCTCCTATGTGAAGATACTTAATAATACCTCATAAGGTTGTATAAAGATTTAAATAAATTAAAATATGCCCAGTGCTTAGACTCAACTGACACTTAGTAAAGAGCTAAGTGTTTACTAACTAAACTAAATAAAAATAAATCCACAAGAAGACTACAGAACACCAAAGGAAACATCGAAGCAAAGACAGATTAACCAAAACAAATGAACAAACAAACAAAAAACTAAAATTAAGTAAGAAAAATATCCTTTAAATAAAAAGATGAAATGAATCTACTGGGGATGTAGCTCAATGGTAACATATTTGCCTCACATGCTTGAGGCCCGTGTTCTATCCCTGTGGTAGTAGGAGCAAATGTGACTCCATTTTGTTTTGTGACTCCATTCCGTGAAACAACCATGCCAAGTACAAGGGTCACGACTGGAGCAAGATGTTCTTTTCCTTTTGCTATAGAAACCTGTAAGAACACGGAACTACCTAATGGGGCATTGTTTCTGTAACTAGGGTAACGGGGCTCTGTTTCTGTAACTGGGGTGACTGGGCTAACTGTGATTGGTTAGGCTTCCCTCCGCTTGACTGCACTGTCCCGCTTCGCTTGTATTGGCTAGACCTCCCCGAACATCCCTTTTGCTGTTTTCAGGCTTATAAGGAGCACCCTTGCAATTGTTCGGGGCTGATCAGGGGAACAGCTTTATGTTCTGGTCAGCCGCCACCAGTGTGCTTCAATAAAGGCTTGATTCGATTATACGTGAGTGGTCTGGAAGTCAGTTGATGAAACCCTGGGACAAAGCTTTAACTATAACATCCCCAGACTGCAGAAGAAAAAGAAAAATTATCTTTGGATAACAAAAGCTGGAAGGTGGATCACAGAGGACTATCACTAAAAGGAATTCAAAAGGATATTCTGTAAAAAAAAGAACAAAAATTGTTCCAGAAGACAGAGCTGGGACATAAAAAAAGAATAAGAAAATAAAACAGCAAAGATGTGAATAAATCTAACTAGTGTTGAAGGAGTATTAACTTTATGATACAACAGTCAGAGTGATGCCTTTTGAAATTTAAAAAGAGATAAACAGCATGACCACATCAGAATCTAAGACGGGAGGGGATGATCAGAGTTAGGGTTCTGAGCTTTTTGGGAAGACAGTGAATAAGACGGATGGCCTGGGATCAGTGTGTGTGTTACCATTTCTAGATAAACACTACGAGAAAAAGAGTGAATAGCTTCTAAACTAGAAAAGTGGGAAAATGGAATAAGAAAATGTATTTAAATTAATTTAAAAAGAAAAAAATATATATCCAAAGGTGAAAAAATTAGAATGTAGAAAAAAATAAAATGTTAGAAATGAATCCATAGATCATGGTAATCATGGCACATAGGATTGGCTTAAAATTTCAAGTTAAAAACACAAGGATTGTTACAAATGAGATTTTTTTAAAATATGTTCATCTATGTTCTGTTTAAAAGATACAAATAAAAAGTAGGGATACGGAAATACTGAATGCAAAAGCATGAAAAAGGATATTCCAGGAAAGGTTAACCAGTAGCAAGTAACACAGCTAGACATTAAAACAAGCAAATTGGATTTTAAGGCATTATATATAGGATTAAATAGGATTAAATAGGATTAAAGAGATTAACTAAACATTGAACTAAAACATGTATTCTATCTGGAAAAAATATATATATACATAGAAATTATGATGTACTCTGTGGCCCTATGAGAAGCAAAATTGACAGACCTGCAGAGAAAAATATCATTCTATCATGATGGATTTCTTTATAACTTCTCAGCAACCATAAGAATCAGTCCTGATGAAAAATCAGTAAGAATACCAAAGATCTGAACAATGCAATTACCTAATGGACATATGGGGAACTTTGCATCTAACAACCAGAGAGAATACACATTTTTCCTCAAGCATGTACAAAATCAATTTTAAAAAACAATGGCCTTCACAGTCCATATATTTGAAAATTGAGAAACATTTCTTAATCATTCCTGAGTCAAAAGATCTATACTGGAAAGAAAAGGTGTTTGGGGAAACAACCCTGGGTGGCCCTTCAGTCTCTTGAGTACCTCCTTCTTCCTCCATGTGTATTAGTCAGTTTTTTTTTTTTTCTTTTTTTTTTCTTTTTTCTTTTTTTTTTTTTTTCCTGCTGTAACTGAAAGTCCTGACCAGAACAACTGTAGAGGAGAAAGTTCATTTAAGGGCTCACGATTTTAGAAGTCTCAGCCAATTCCATTCCCCATGGGCTCCAAGTGAGGCAGAACATCAGGGTGGAGGGGTGTGGCAAAGGGAAGTGGCTCACATGATGATCAGAAAGCACAGTCTCCACTCTCCAGATATAAAATACATACCCTGAAAGAACCATCAAAGCTTGCCACCGGAGAAAATGCCCATTTATTGAGGAACAGCTCTGCATATTTATAGAGCCAGGGGCGGTTTGACAGTTGGCATGAGGTGCTTTTTGATTGGTGGGTAAGGATCAGGTGAGCCAGCAGGGCTAGTCTGATTGGTAGGTAAGGATCAGGTGAGCCAGTAGGGCTAGTCTGATTGGTGGGTAAGGATCAGGTGAGCCAGCAGGGCTAGTCTGATTGGTAGGTAAGGATCAGGTGAGCCAGCAGGGCTAGTCTGATTGGTGGGTAAGGATCAGGTGAGCCAGCAGGGCTAGTCTGATTGGTGGGTAAGGATCAGGTGAGCCAGCAGGGCTCACCATTGGACAGCAGGATCATGTGAGCCAGCAGGGCTCACCATTGAACGGCTCTTCTTGAGGGATGGGGAAGTTAGTCTTTGGAGCCTGTTGACTCCCAGCATACCCCATAGCCACGCCCCCAATGAGCTACTTCCTCCAGCCACACCCCACCTGCCTCCAGTTACTACTCATTTAATTCCATCAGGGATTAATTCCTTGGTTAGTTTAAGGCTATAGCCCAATCATTTCTCCTCCAAACCTTGCATTGTCTCACACGAGCCTCTGCAGGACACTTTGCATCTAAACCATAACAACCTCCATTAGAAGTCTCCCCACTGGCTGCTCTGTGCTTGGGCTTCAGTGAAAGACCAGACTGTGGGATGTGGGATCCTACACAGCCACTGAAGGAGGACTGATGAGCCGTCCTGGAAGTAGAGGATAATGAATTTCCTATGGCCTGAATATCAAATAATGGGAAGTGGGAGATGAAAGGCACCTGAGAAAATAAAAGTCCCCCCCCCTTTCTTCCTCCTGCATTTAGCTCTGAGGGGAGGGCCCTCCTTGCAACTTCTCTGGAGAAATTCAACCCACTGAGTGAATACAACTGCTGAGATTCAGCGGCCTTTTCATGGCTCCTTGTGAATAGCATGGAGCACAGTTAGGCACTGCGTCACATTCCATCCTGTGGTCCCTTAGCCTCACTTCTTTTATTCTCACCTTGGCTGCCCTGGGATTGTACATTCCAGACACGATGATAACATCTTAATTACTGCTCCAGGCTGTGCCTGCTAAAGGAGCAATTTACAAAGCAAAAAGAAATCACAGACACATAAAAACTTTAGAATGCACCTAGAACTATCTGAGAAGAAGCTTATGCTTTAAATATTTATTTTTAAAAAGAAGATGGAAAGTGAGGGCATTAACTATCCAATTAGGAAGTTAGAGAAGGAACAATAGGAGAAATCCAGAGAAAACAGAGAAAAGTAAGCGATAAAGTGCTATGTTTAGATAGGAGATGCCCCCAAAAGCCATGTGTAAAACAATACAAGAATTTTCAGAGGTGAAATGATTAGATTATGAGAAGTGTAACCTAATCGGTGGATTAATCCACTTATGTGGATTAACTGGGCAGTAACTTTAGGCAAGTAGGGTATGGCTGGAGGAAGCAGGTCACCAGAGGTGTACCTTAGGGGTTTACATTTTGTCCATGGTGAGCAGAACTCTCCTCTGCTTCCTGGTTGGTTAGCATGTTCTGATCTGCTTTCCACTGCCATGCCCTTCCACCACGATGTTCCACTTCACCTTGGACCCAGAGTTTCAGAATGGGTCTCCATGGACTGACCCTCTGAGACCATGTGCAAAAATAAACTTGCCCTCCTCTATCTTGTTCTTGTTGGCCGTTTTGGTTGCAGCATCAAAAAAACTAACTAAAACAAAATTATGAGAAGGAGTTAATAAAATGAAAAGCAAAGATATAGATCAGTAAACCCAAACATAAGTTCTTTCAAAATATAAATACTTTAGCAAAAAAAAAAACTGTGATAGAATGATCAAGAAAAATTAGAAAAGGCACACATAACCAGACTCATAATGAAAAGTGGAACTCTATGATAGTTTAGATTTAAAATATAGTAATCAAATATTTTAAGTCAATTTTATCAATAAATTTGAAAGCCTCAGGAAAAAGGACTATTTTCTAGTTATTTGTTCAAAACTGACTTGGGAAGAAATAGGAAACTAGAATAAAGTTGAATCAGGACTCCCCCCCCCCTAATTTTCTTTTAGTTGTAGATGGACACAAAACCTTTATTTTATGTATTTATTTTTATGCGGTGCTGAGGATAAACCCAGTGCCTCACGTGCTAGGCAAGCGCTGTGCCACTGAGCTACAACCCCAGCTCTGAATGAGGACTTTGGATTTCCACAGGATAAATGGCAGCCACCTAAAAGAAGTGCTGCAGATATCCTCTTAAACCTGTGCAGGACAATAAGAAGAGCACGTAAGATTTCTTTTAAGCCACACCTGTACGAAAGGCAATTCACACATAAGTGCAGAGTAAATCTCTACAAGGAGCACAGCCAGCTTTACAACACTTTCTGGAGTGGAGAAACAAGCAAGGATTTTGTGCAAGAGAAGGGCAGCAAGGTCCACCCTGTAGTAGCAGAAAATAAATAACCTCCCCCAGAGAGCTGCATTCCAGATGGAAGGAGAACATTCCATCCTGGATGGAGAGATACTGATGATAAATTTGAGACTAAGTGGATCTGAGCAAAATAAAGTGACTTAGAAAGTGTGTGAACCTTAAGGACATGGGAGTGGGGTGGGGTGGAGATGACTTGGAAGAAGGAGCCATGCTGTAGAGGCTTGACATTAAAAAAAAGAATAAGAAATAAACGTTTGAATTAAAATTGAAATCAGAAACAGTTTCACAAAATCAGACTCATGCTATTTATAATACAGAAACGCAAGCCAGAGCAGGCAAGGATACGCACCATCCATCAAAGAAACTGAACTTCATTATGCTAACAGAAGAGGGCACTGTTGAATTAAGAAACCCAATGGCTGGGAGCCGGGTTGCTCGCCTGGAATCCCAGGCACTTAGGAGGCTGAGGCTGGAGATAACACAGCTCAAAGCAAAGGCTTGTATGCAGCTCAGGCTCTCTGCAAACCTACTGTGGAGCCCTGGAGAAGGCAGCGGTGTCTGCCTTAGAGATACAAGAGGGGAGTATTCAACAGTACTAGTTCCCTCCCCCATTGGTGCAGGTGCAGGCCTGAAATTGTTCTGCTGGGATCTCCCTTCAAGAAAGAAGGGTGTGACAGTTAGCTGCAAGGAGTGCCCTTAGCCTAATGCCTCCAGTCCCAGTGCCTTCAAGATCTGCCTCTGCTTTTGAGCCTAAATTATGCTTTTCTGGGGCAGCACCTATTAATGGATGAGCAGGCAATGAGGCCTTGCCATTTCTGATCAATATGGACAGTTTTTGTTTCAGAGTTCCATGTTGAGCTAAGACTTTGTAGATCTCCTTCATCATTTGGAGATCTCCCTGACCAACCCTTCTTCCTTTTCCCGGGTGTCTGACCTGCAGGGCAGTCAGAGCTTTTCCTGTCTCTTTCTGCTTTTCCCATACACACCCTTTTAATGGTCGTTAAAAGGGAGTTAAAATCTAAACAATTTGCACTTCTAGTTTCATCTCAGGATCTGCTTTCTGGTAGACTCAGCTGATATAATCGAGGATTTCCCCG